CTTTCTCATTTTTTCACAGTTCTATGTTTATTGCAACGAAATAGATTTTGATTAACTATAGGATTTTTTGCTGTGTTTCACTATGTTTCACATTGTTTTTCCCTTGTGAAATTTTAGATTAATACCGGTAAGTCGACAGTAAAAGTTATGAATCACTACGAAGCTTTGGTTCATGATGGGTTTCAATCTTTCGTTGAATGTAACACAACAGGTCCAAGAACGGAAAAGTTAGGATTTTGATTTTGTGGTTAGGGTTTTTGTGTTGGTTTGGTGATTTGGAGAGATGATATATGATTTTTTGTTGCAACTGTTTAAGGTCATCTGTACTCACGGCTTCAAGAAAATTCACCATGCTCCAAAGGTATCAATTCTCTCTGTTTAACTGATTTCAAAATATATAATACTTGTAATACTCATCACCGATATGTATAATATTTGTTGATGCTATGTGAATATTCGATGAATAGTTTCGTTTTAGACAAATCTATTTTGGATTTAATTGGCAGGGAGTGTTGACTAATGTTGTGGACATGCTAGATATGTTGGATCTACCGCAATCAACCTCTCCGAGAGCATTTTCGCAGTAGCTAACTTGACAGTGCAATAGGCAATTGCGGATCTCAGTTGTAATACGGTGGGAGAACTGACTTTATTGGTTTTGTATTTTATCGCAAATGTTTCAGATAGCAAGAGTCGCCACCGACTTTTCTTTTATCCAATAAAGTAAAGGGTGAAAAGAACAGGAAAGACCTTTCTAGAATTTTTCTGAGTAAGGAGGATAGGTTTATAGAAAGGGAAGGTGTTAGCACCCTTTCCATCCGTAGTTATCTACGGGCTCTTAGTTGCTAGCTCACTTTGAAAATGCTTTTTTGTGTAAGTGTATTTTTGAAAATATTTTTGAAAAGACGCCTTAGTGCGGTGAACTTTGTAATGATTCTCGTATTGTTGATAATGCATACAAAGTTTTTTGTCTTTGAAAATATCTAGAAAAAAGAGAGTGTATGTGTGAGAAAATGGTTTGTCTTGTGAGCAAGCAACTACAAGCTGTCTACCTACTCGAATGGTCTTTGTTCTTTTCCTCTTTTCCTTTAGATAGTGTTATCCTACTATTAGTTAGTATGTAGCCATATCATTGGATCTTTGAGGGACATGCGCGGATCACCGTACAGTCATAAAGGTAACTCGTAGGGCACTTTAGCAATTTTATCGTAAGAGACTAGATCGTTTACCAAATGCAGCATCGAAAGGGTCATCGAGGGACTACGATCTTTTTGTATTGGAGGGACTTTGCTAAAGCATTCCCACGTTCGAGGGACATGACTGTTTTTTTTCCGAAGGCAACAAGTGAGGGTCACCTTAGAGGTGCGCGCGTGCGAAGTGTGTTGTGTTTTAGTTATATTTGTCTTGAATGTTAGGTTTTCTAACGTTTGCTTTTAAGTCTTATCATGCAATACCTATTAGCATACATCTAGCAGTTAAAAATATATAAGTGCAGAACAATAAAATGCGGAAATTAAACTATGCTATTACATCACTTCGGGATGAGGGAAATACAAACCAGAAATGAGGGAAAGAAAAAAAAATCCTTGTTTAAACTATTACATTCGTTTGTACAGTTACATAATCCATGAAAATAATGCGAATAAAGCAAACAAACGCGTGGAGGAGAAAAGAGAAAAGATGAAAAACCATAAAAGAGTTCTAAGCATTGGAATTTTTTTATTTTGTTTTTAATTAGAAAAAAGTTTTATGATAATAAACCTAATTCTAACCAATTTTAATTAACAAAAATAAACTCAAGAATGATTAAATTAATTAATTTTATTGTAAAAATAAAGCTAATTAATTAAATCCTAAATATAATTTTTTTTATTTGATTTTATGATTTTATTAAAAAAGTTAATTAAAAAGAAAAATAAAGAAATGAATTAAAACAAGAATAAATAATAAATAAATAACAGTTATGGGCTAAAAGTTCTTGAATCATGCGCTTTGGATCAAAATGCACAGATCGGAGGAAAATGATATTATTGAATCCGCGTGCATGGAAGTGTATCAATGGTTAGAACTTGTTCATCAAGTACTCAAAAACACGTTAATAATAATAATCATTAAGCTCAAAACAAAGAAAAACAAAAGAACATGAATCTCAAAATGTTATGCGATAAGAAATGTATGTTATGCCTTTATCATGTGTTTTGGACCATGGTAACTGATCCAATCTTATCCTTTCACGTTCAGGGATAAGATAAGGATAGATTTATGGGGTGAGAAGGCCTGTAGGCAGAGCTTTGAAGCACAAAGGTTCTTGAGATTTTTTTTTGAGAATTTTGCTAGCTTCTATGCATATGATTTTTTGGAGAATTTTGAAATGGCTTTGGTATGCAAGAATTTCGTGGTCCCTTGAGCTTGCATTTCTTGAGTATTTATAGATAGAGTGAATGGGATAGCAAATATGGAAATGAATCAAGCATTCAACTATGTTTTAAGACAGGAATCAAAATTTGAAAACTTGTCATACTTTGTAGCTTTTAACCATGTTTTAAGACAATAATCAAAATTTGAAAACTTGTCAAACTTTGTAGAATTCTTGCCATTTTAGTTTTTTGCATGAATCTAGACACATTGATAGCTTGCTTGAATATTTGGGCTTCAATCTTGACCCATAAATCCAAGCATGCGCCTAAGCCCATTAGCCTTACTTTTTGTTTTGATTTAATTTGTTTTAAATGAATAAAAATTCAAATAAAATAAATAAAAATCATGAAAAATAAGGGAATGGTTTTAGGGGTCCTCTAGCATATCATGAACATGTTCGAGTCTAAAAAATTAGTCCCATTGGTTCAAAGATTCAAAATTGCCCAATTTGAACTTCATAAATTTCTTCAAAATCTCCCAACTCGTGCAACTCATAACTTGCTCAATTTTCATATTTTGGAGGTGATATTGGAATTTTTTGAAAATATCAAGATGTCCTCTACAACCTCTATGTTTACCATTTTTGCTTTTGGAGAAATTATCTTGATGTAAGTTGTCTTGACAAACAATGCCTTTTGTTGACTTTTGAAAATGACCTATAATGTATTAGCTCATATCTTCCAAATGAAGCATTTTTTGGACTTGAGAATGAAAGAAAAGTTGTAGAGTATTGAATTTTATTCAAAATGGGCTTTGTTTGTGGAAAAGTTGATGAAACATGTGAAAGTTATGCCTGGTCAAAGTTCAACTGACTTCTCATAAGGAAATCCTAATTTGGCAATTCTTGACTTTTGATGATTTGAAAGCTTTCCTTAGGGAATCATGATCAACCCTTGATCAAAAGACGAATATCACTTCAAAATGTTGACGTTGACCAAAATTCTTGAAGTTTGACAGTATGTTGACCATAGTTGACTTTTTGACCAATACAGTTGATTTTCAATCATCTGAGCCATTGACTGAGCAAACTATTGATGTAAGGCTTGAAACTTGACATGAACCTTGTTGAGGACCTATTAATAACCATGGAAGCCACTTGATACCTTTTCAATCCAAATTTCCTTGAGAAACTCAAAAATCTAATTGTAGACCTTTGGGCTTATGAGGTGAGTTGATTGGTCAACCCTTGAGTGCCTTGAGTGTCTGAGAAGCCTTGAAAGAGTGTCTTTGAGAATAAAAATATAGGGAAGACTTTGGGGTACAACAGCTGCCCCTGTTCAATCTTCTTAAACCTGAAAAGTTAGATTGACATATCCGCCATTCGTGGCTTGAAGGTAGAAGATGATTGAACACTTAAGTGCCCAGAAATTTGCACTCGCCTGTGCAAGAGGTAACGTTGGTTGATTGTATTAGGAATGGGCTTATAGATACCATTTGGAGAGGTGACGAAGAGTTGTTAGAGATGGGATAATAGATGTCATCCAAAATAATTGTTGACTTCTACTGGAAGAAGTATCAGAATAAATCTTTGATTGATTTAAACTGAACCAGAGAAAGGTCTACTGGAAAAGCATCAGGATAAATCATTGGTCGGTTTACACTGAACTAGTAGATGTTTGTACTTAACTTTAACTGGATAAGAATCAGGATAAATCTTTGAGTGATTTAAGCTGAACTAGAGAAAGGCCTTGATTGTCTTCAACTGGATAAGAATAAATCTTTGGACGATTTAACTGAACCAGAGAAAGTATCTACGGGAAAAGAATTAGGATTTGGTCGATTTAAACTGAACTAGCAGATGTCTATAATTGTATTTAACCGGATAAGAATCAGAATAAATCTTTGGGTGATTTAAACTAAACCAGAGAAAGAGTCCACTGGAAAAGAATCAGGATAAATCATTGGTCGATTTAAACTGAACCAGTAGAGGTCTTTAATTGTCTTTAACTGGATAAGAATCAAAATAAATTATTGGGTCGATTTAAATTGAACCATAGAAAGAGTCCACCGGAAAAGAATCAGGATAAATCATTGGTCATTTAAACTGAACCAGAAGAGGTCTTTAATTGTCTTTAACTGGATAAGAATCAGAATAAATCATTGGGTTGATTTAAACTGAACCAGAGAAAGAGTCACATCGAAAAAGAATCAGGATAAATCGTTGGTCAATTTAAACTGAACCAGCAGAGGCCTTTAATTGTCTTTAACTAGATAAGAATCAGAATAAATCATTGGGTCGATTTAAACTGAACCAGAGAAAGAGTCCACCTGAAAAGAATCAGGATAAATCATTGGTCAATTTAAACTGAACCAGCAAATGTCTGTACTTGAGAATGACCTTATGAGGAAAATGCTAAAATAGCCCTTCGTCAGGTGTAGCCTTTGAAAAGAATTTCAGGTCATATAAGTAGTTGATGATGTTTGTCGATTGATCTTTCCTAAAAAGGTGAAGAGTTAGATGTATGCTATGTCATGATGTATAAAATGCATTGCGTAACAATGTTCTCAAAATAAATGAGATTGTGCTATATGCGTTTCGTATGCATATGCAATAACATTTGGTAAATGATGTATGAACGCGACATGTTTTTGAAGTGCATTTGTAAACTCGAGCAACATCTTTGTCTGGGGAAAATAAATCCTTGATTGTCGCTGGGGATGAAGAATATGTGTATCTTCGATCTTCTGGGGATTGTTTCCGCTGGGACCCCTACTTGCTGGTTTGAGGAAACTCCACTGAGGAACATTGATTTTTGCTCTTTGTTTGAGGAAACTCGATTGGAGAGTATTAATTCCTGCTTGGGGAGAAGAATTCAAGAACATTGGTTGTTCATTGCTCTATTGTGGAATTTATACCCTGACTGGGGATAGAAGAGGTGGATAACCTTCTGACTTATCTGGGGATGATAAGGTTGACTGGTATTTGATTTGATTCCAGGTTCCATAGCAACTCTCTGGGGATAGTGGCAACTTCACTGGGAGAGGATTTTAGCCGGTGATTTATGGTAAAAGCATACTCAAGCTGGGGAGTGCTTATGCCTTGATTGTATCTGAAGATGTATTGAATGGGTATCATAATAATATCCATATTTGGACTGTATCCGAATCGTATCTGAAAGATGTACTGAATGAGTATCAGAATGAATCTGTATCTTGATCGTATATGAAT